CCTATATGGAAAGAGAAACAGTTGCATGAACTGGCTTACATTGTTTTGTTATCTCTGAAGAATAACACTTTGACACGCTAATAATTTTTCTATGCGGCAAAACGTTATTAACCGAAAATAGCAACCAAGTTTTTCGCATATGGAAATGCAATTAATATCGTATTTATTATTAAGAGTTCGTTCAAATCAATCTATCAATGAAAAACATATTTGCATACCCTTTCATCGAATTGAAAGCGAAAAATATCCACACACAAAAATCTACGTGGTTCACCAACCAGCAAACTAACAGAGATCGGATATGCTGTGCCCAAAATTCAGTCCCCTCTATGTTCCTCCATATTTGCTTGATACGCTGTAGGAAATCAGTTTGTATAATATCAATTAATATCAATACTGTTGTAATTAGGATTTACTTTCCTAGTAAGTTCCCTAGAATAGAGGACACGTTTCCTAGTATACTTAGAACTCTCTTGTATAAAACCAATTGTACCTATCAATGAAAATTACTCTCTTCCAATATCATATTCACACTTCTTGATGTAAAGACACATCTTGTTGGGCGCTACTAATAGGTAGATTAGAAACAACAGGTAGAGGAACTAAATCTGGAAAATACTTCCCCTGAGATCGAAAATGTAATGAGCGCCATTTAGCTTTAAACGAAAGCTGGAAGAAAAGGTAATGAGCTCCATTTAGCTTTATAATTTTTTAAGTGGCCTCTAAAGTTGGAATACAATCACTTCATTCTTAATCTATTATGCAGTCAGAATCTGGGACAGCCAGTGAATATCGTGGAGAATCATCTTTACATCTCGGTAACCGGCAGAACATGAAAAGCAATATATGGAGAGTTATTGCAAAAGGGGACATAAAGATCGTTCTTCATCAAGATTTTTACGTCGCCAATGCCTTAGCAATTTGTGTCATAAAAGAGATAAATGTTCTCTTTCAAATGGTGATCATAAAGGCATGGATTCTTCCCCTTATCCACTTCGCCACTGTGGGGAGAACATGTCTAGTTGTGCCACGAGGTAACATTCCTATATGCTTCTTTTTGCAGGCTTGAATAGCTAATGACTAACCCCTTTAGTTTGATAATTTGCAATATCTGAAGGCAGTGTGTGGAGTAATTTTCTCCTCTTGATAATGATTTCTCTGGATGTGTTTGTCAAGTTTAAATACTTACTCACTTGTGGGATATATCTACAGCAACAAGCATCCTCAAAGGACAGGGGAATATTTGACTGCCATTTCTTTAATACATTTTTTTACGAGAAGCTCAAAGAGGCTGTCGCATATAAGGTAATTGTTTATCTTGTTCTATCTTCTATGGCTGATATTTCTTTTTTAAAAATTGGGGTAGTTGTTAGAACTTCAGAATCCTTTATATGTATTAAAAAATGGTCACCTATATGGCTGAGACTTTGTAAGTTTTAAGAGAGTAAGACAACTATTCTTACCATATTATCTCTTTCTAGTTTCATAAACAGTGGAACATATGTGGCATCGTTTGAGTTATGCACTTTTTGGCAGTGACATTTAAAAGTTATTCAAAGAAGAGCTTACCTTCTCTCTCTTTCTCTCTCTCTTTTTTTATTTTTTAAAATTACTTATTTGAACATTTTTGATGCAGTGTCTGCATCATGCCCACTTTTCCCCTGCTTATTTTCTGTCTCATTTTCCTTGTACTATGTAGGGGAACGACAAGGATAAACTTTTTGGTAAGTTTAGAAGGTGGTGGAAGGGTGTTAATATATTCCAGAAGGCATATTTACTTATTCCGATTCATGAAGAGTAAGTCTCTCTCTCCCTCTCTCTCTTGTTACTCCTAAGAATATGTGCTTGTAGTTGTCAGATTGTGCATGGGTAGATAAACAGTGGCAGATGCCTATGTAAAAAACTTGTTAGAAAGCTCATACTAGAATAAAGTATTTGACATCTATATATGCTCAATTGCTTTTTCTTCAATTGTTACTTGATATAGTATGAGAGATGAAATGCTGGAAACTGTGTCTGGATTTTTTTTTTAAAATTCCAGCGTGCATTTTCTTTATATACTTAGCATATCGTAGGTTATTACTTTCGTGGCCAGACTTGCAATTATACACAAGAAGCTTGTTTTAGATGTATTTCTATTTGCCACTATCCGAATGATCCTCACAAGAATGTGGTACAAGCCATAATCTTGCAAGCAGATGAATAATATTGTATTAATTTTGGTAGGAGTAATCAGATTTAGGTCTCAGGCGTGGTTAGTTGACTTGACTGCGTTGCCGAGGACAGATGATTTTAGTTTCTACCAGTGTTGTATTAGGCCGGATATATACTGTGTCTAACTTTGGTGAGGCTGGATTGATGTGGGTGACTTTTGTCGGGTGATTGGTAACAAACACAAAATGAAGTTAGAAAGAGAAAACATTCGAGAAAAAAAAAAAATGACTTCTATAAATGAGTGGTTAAATATATTAATATTCATCAATTTTAAATGCTATGATAAACTGATCTGGTGACAATTAGCAATACCTCTAGAAGAATAAAGGAGTTAGATATTGGATATTTGGACATTTTAGTATGCGACTGTTAATTGTTTATTTATACTGTAAATGTGCATTCACTATGTGTAATATGGACCTATTACATTTGCTACATATGCACTATATATGTGTTGTGTTGTTAGAGAAAGCTCATGTATTTTTTTTCTTTAATTAAATGCACAACATCAAAATTTTGTCGTGGAACTCTTTTTAATTATCATGGTATGCTTTCTGTGTCCCATAGCTCATACCTTCTTTGACTTAAATTACCAAACATTTGACTTTATTATGGTATTTGACAGTGTACATTGGAGTCTAGTGATTATTTGTATCCCTGACAAGGAAGAAGAATCTGGACCAATTGTACTTCATTTAGATTCCTTAGGAGTCCATTCTCCCAGATCAGTTTTTCAAAATATTAAAAGGTGAGACAAAAGATGTCCTTCCTGACTCATTGAGATATAGTTTTGTCATATATTTTCTGCCTGCTATGTTATTTTCAATTAGTTGTCACTGGTGGATTTGATACTGATGTGCTATGTAGCTATTTGAAAGAAGAATGGAACTATTTGGATCAAGAAGTCGCCATTTCAGATATTCCTATTCATGTTGCCCATCCCTGATCACTCGTCTTCTTTACTGCCGGGTCCTACTAAAGGTACACGTTTTCCGCTCTGCAATTTTCTCTCATATCATCGTTATTCCCCCGCTCACTTTGCTTTCATTGCAAAAGTCAGTACTATTGTTGAACCCAGTTCTTATGAGGACGCTGCTCCCCACTCTCATTGGCAAGAGGCCATGCAGTCTGAATTGCAGGCTTTGTCTGATAACCACACTTGGAGTCTTACTCCGTTACCTGCTGGAAAGAAGCCCATTGGTTGTCGGTGGGTGTATAAAGTCAAGCTTAAGTCTGATGGCTCGGTTGAGCGCTACAAAGCCCGGTTGGTTGCTAAAGGTTTTACTCAGCTAGAAGGTGTTGATTATCATGATACCTTTTCTCCTACTGCCAAAATGCCCACTATCCGCTGCCTTCTCGCTCTTGCTGCCGCCCGTAATTGGTCCCTTCATCAGCTTGATGTCAACAATGCTTTTCTTCATGGTGATCTCCATGAGGAAATCTACATGCTCCCTCCACCTGGTCTTCGGCGACAGGGGGAGAACTTGGTATGTCGCCTTCATAAATCTCTTTATGGTTTAAAGCAAGCTTCTCGTCAATGGTTTGCTAAGTTTTCTCAGGCCATTTGTTCTACTGGTTACATTCAATCTAAAGCTGACTATTCATTATTTACACGCCATAAGGGGCACTCTTTCACAGCATTATTGATTTATGTTGATGACATTGTTATCACGGGCAATGACCCTATAGCTATCTCGGCACTCAAGGCTTTTTTGCACCGTCATTTTCGTATTAAAGATCTTGGAGATTTGAAATACTTTTTGGGGATTGAGGTATCAAGATCAAAACAGGGCATTTTCTTATCTCAACGCAAGTATGCATTGGAAATTTTGAAGGATGCAAAACTCCTAGGTGCCGCACCTGTTGATTTTCCTATGGAAAAAGGTCTTAAGCTCTCAGATAAGGGTGAATTACTTAAAGATCCAGCTCAGTATAGAAGACTCGTTGGTCGCTTGATTTATTTGACCATCACAAGGCCAGATATTACTTACTCTGTTCATGTCTTAAGTAGGTTTATGCATGCCCCACGTAAACCTCACATGGAGGCTGCACTTCGTATTCTTCGTTATTTAAAAAAATCGCCAGGTCAAGGCATATTATTGTCTTCTCAGAATGACTTGACTTTGCGTGCCTTCTGTGATTCTGATTGGGCAGGTTGTCCTAATACTAGAAGGTCCACTACAGGCTATTGTGTGTTTCTGGGATCTTCTTTAATTTCATGGAAATCGAAGCGGCAGAAAACTGTATCTTTATCATCAGCAGAAGCTGAATATAGATCTATGGTGGCAGCATGTTGTGAGTTATCTTGGCTTCGATCCCTCCTCAAGGATTTGCGCATTCTTCATCGCCAATCTGCTTTGTTGTATTGTGACAACAAGGCAGCTTTACATATTGCTGCCAATCCAGTATTTCATGAGAGAACAAGACATATTGAGATGGATTGCCATTTTATTCGAGATAAGATTCAGGAAGGTTTGATTGCCACACAACATGTGAGTTCGTCCTCTCAGTTAGCCGATATTCTTACTAAGGCATTGGGACGAGAAGAATTCAACAATCTTGTTCGCAAGTTGAGAGTTCTTGATATCCACTCTTCAACTTGAGGGGGAGTGTAGGAAATCAGTTTGTATAATATCAATTAATATCAATACTGTTGTAATTAGGATTTACTTTCCTAGTAAGTTCCCTAGAATAGAGGACACGTTTCCTAGTATACTTAGAACTCTCTTGTATAAAACCAATTGTACCTATCAATGAAAATTATTCTCTTCCAATATCATATTCACATACGCGTCCTTCAATTTATAACAAGGTTAACTCTGTTATGTTTTATTTTTCTACATTAAAAAAACTAAAAAAAGCCCCAAAATACAAGGGAGTACAGAAGGCCTTTGTTCTCATATGTTGTCCATGCTCTGCCTTGAAACAGTAGCTTTGAATCATCCACGGCAATCTCAAACCCAGTAGCTTTTTTGCAGAGACTTAAAATAGTTGAAATAGTGAAACCATCACCTTCTATTGTTCTTCTCTCTACCTCCTTTTTCCTCTCAATCTTCTTCTGATAGACATACAAAATTCACTCTTTCATGAACTTTATCCTCACTGTCCTGCAAAACCAGGAAACAGTAGGAGGCACCAAAGTCTGCACAACAAACAAACTAATTAACAAGTGACTTGGGACAAGAAATTTTCATAGTTAATGTTCCAACTAGTGTAACACAGTCTCAGTCACATGATCTATATAACATACTTATCCAGGACATGTCAAATTCCAAGTCCTTACTATGATTTGATCCTCTGAAACGAATTCATTTTGCATGAAACGTGCTCGTCGTCTCCAGCAAGGTGAAATATTGTACCACACCACCAATGTAGCCAAAAAAAGGAAGATAAAATTTTGTATATAACCTTCCATCAGTTGTAAGCAACAATGGAAAGATACCCCATTTTATCTGTATAATGTTACAATATAAATGTGTATTGATTTGTACATTTCCGTACAACAGTCCAAATCTCAAAACTTATTTTACTGCTCAATTTCCTAGTTACCAGGCAGCACGAATGAATGAAAAGTCCACAAGAGAGAACTTGCTGAAACACTGGAACCATGTGCAACAAGTTGAAAAGCACTAATGGGAAGTCCCTGCTTATTTTGACTGCAACTATAAAATGAAAAGTCTTCATAAACCGTGTGATCCAAATTCTACAAACTAGTGCATGTATGTTATCATGGTAAACAAGAAATCTGTCAAAAAATATTTAGTTGACAGAACGAACAACCCAATGCTGTAATTGCAAATTATTACTACAACTGTGAATTTCTAGTGGAACAGAAAAAGGCAATCACTAATTTTACCATTCCGTTCTATGATATAATAAAAGCAACAGCATTAGGGGCGAGTACCATATTACAACTAAAAAGGAAACAGACTCACCTGAGCTTGGTCGAACATAATAGCCAGAAGATTTTTGTAACAGAAGTTGTCATGACCCTAACAGAACATAGAACATGAAGACAATGTGGAATTTGAGACTTGAAATCTTCTAGGCTGCCCTTCTGTTGATATTTCTCCTGAAGTGAACAATCAAGTTACATAGGAAAGAGCAAAATGAGGTATAGAGTTGTTATTGATTTAACATCTAAAGAAAGTGCACCATAAATCAAACTCATCACAGTAGTTAGAAATACTAACAAATAACACAAGGACTACTTGTACACCTTCATAATACAAGGCATACAAGGACTAAAACTACATGATCATTTTCATTTCATTGCCTCGTATACAACTCCATACAACATTTACCATACAGAGAGCAGAACCAGAACTACATGATCCTCTTGTTAGTCTCTTGTAAGACTTCATGTTGTCCTTTAGTTGAAACTAGGCTCTCCACATAAAAATGAACTTCTAAGGAACAGCGAAGGCCACAAATTGGAATGTGTTTAGCTTCTTCACTACTTGGATTGTACAAAACCAGCTCCCCTTTTCTACTTTCCATATAAATTTCACCATATAAACCGCATCCCAGTGGCCTCTCAATTCCAAGCAGGGGTCCAATTGTCCATTCCCTTTTCCAAAAAACCTCAGCATCATGCTCAATCATTTTCCATACATAAATCTCTCTTTGCCTCCCACTAAAATTATACACTATCAAATAAAGAGATTGCTTTAATTCCGCCAGTTTTGTGCACATCGGGGTTTCTAGAAAGCTTAAATCTGGCAACTGCAATTCCCCAAACACATCATCACACATGTCAAACGATACGATGAATTCACGACCCCCCCTGCCATATGCAATCCAATAAAGCAAACCGTTCAGAGCCGTGCACGAATGTTCATATATTTCAAAGTGAAAAGTATTAACCTCCTGCCAACAATCCATTTTTTGAGAATACACCTCCGCCCGTATCCAAGCATTACCAAAGCAAGACAAAGACACAATCCTCACAACCTTATAGTCATCAATAAGAGGGTGGTGCCCAAATCCGTGGGCAACACCACGGACCTGAACATTATCATCATCATTGACAGAATCAATAACTGAGTCTGGTAGGACACTAAATTCCCTTATAGCAGGGTTCCACAACAAAATCATAGGTGACCAAAGATGAGCAGATTTATCATGAGCGAAACAAAGTAAGCCATTAGAAGACCCCACAAGTTTCGAGTGATGAGAATCGATTACAGATGATGGTATCTCCAATTTTGATAACATGTAACCATTTGTGCCATGTAAAAGCAGAGAAATGACGTTCTTACGAGTAACATTGCAACGGTACTTTACCAGAAGGCGTCCACTTTGGTCTTCTTTTGCAATATTGAGATTGAGGTGCTGAGAAATGAAATGGGGGTCTCTGATCAGAGCTTTCCATTCTTTGCGTACTGAGCTGAACCGAACCAGAGATTTGGCGGGTAGTCTTGAGAGAATGTCAGCCGTCAGATACTCAGGAAAGGCCATATGAAAACGATGAAAACGATGGTCTTCTTGCAAAGGGGTTTTGAAAATGTTGGCGTAAAGAAAATAAAAATTGGCTGAGACGCTAGAAGAAATTGAAGAGCCAAGAAGGGAAAGAAACAGACATGTTTTGAAATCAATATACGCTTGTAGCGGCAAGCTCTCTGAAGAAGAAGCAAATCTTTTCAGGAGGGCTCAAGGAAGCTGTGGGTGGAACCCATTTGAGATGCTCTATGATATAAAGTTTGGACTGTGTAGCATCCTGAGGTGTTGTTAAAATTGTTGGTTTAATTTGCCATTGACGTTTAAGAAGAGATCTGGTATTGGCAAGGTAGTTGAGAAGACATAAAAACTGTAAAAGTACTCCGCTAAAAAAAGTAGGACAATTCTTTCTTTTTGGTCTGAAAGTAAACAATTCTTGGGTCATGTCTATTGAGGATCTTGATTTTCTTTCACACGTGGCCCAATGGGCTGAAAAACAAATGTCATCTTTGTTTTAGAAATAAAAATGGTAAGTCTTATGAGTAGAGTCCTCCTGGTAAGTCTTAATTTTGATGGCTTTGTTTTACCTAATGGAAGTTCTTTTGCATGTTTTGTAATCTGTGATGAAAATGCTAAACCTCTACTTGCAGACAGAAGCTTTGGCTTTAAAGCAAGCAATTATATGGGCATCCAAGTTTCGATTATTGTCTCTAGAAATTGAAGGTGACTTCAAAGCCCTCATATAAGAGTGCCTCTAGCGGTGAGCCCAGCCCGAGGCTAGGGGGAAAAAAAAAATATTTGCGTTCCAGCGGAGCAGCCCAGGCTCGGGGGGGTGTGAGACCCACCAACCCGGGCTGGCCCGAAGGCAACTTCCGCCCGAGGTCCAAAACGCGGGGGGGTGACGTCAGCCCGACGTCGACACGCGGCATTGCACGCGCCAACGGTAAAAAAAATTTGAACCAGTGTGCGCTAACGTCAGCACGACGCAGGCCCAACGGCTGGAAGCCACGTGGCACGCCCCCAACGCTCCGATTTGATTCCACAGCCTTCATCCAACAGCTGGTGATTTTCCAGCAATAAAATTATGAAAAAAAATCAAAATTTTTAAAAAAAAAATTCTAAAAAATACTAAAAAATTCTTCCATTGCCAATGCATGCAGTCAATGCTACCAATCATTCCTGGAAATCCTCGAGTTTCGACTTTTTGTAGAAGCCGTTGGAGATCCCTGGGAGTAGGTCTACGCAGGTAGTCCCTAGTGTACAGATTTTCAACTGCATCACAAAATCTTACCAAAGCCTCCAACGTGGTGGACTTCCCCATTCGGGCAACCTCATCCACCTGATCAGCGGATGCTCCATACGCCAACATTCGTATAACAGCTGTAAGCTTTTGCTCCGGAAGAAGCCCCAAAACCCCAGCAGCATCACACTTTTGAACAAAGTATGCATCATAATTGCAAATATCATGCATGACTTTATTGAACAAATGGGGTTGCATTCTAAATCGCCTTCGAAAATCAACATCACAGTACAAAGCAGTTGGGATAAAATAATCTTCCAAAATATTCTTACTCCGAGAATACCTATGTCTGTCTACATTCCGGCGACGGCCGACTTGCGAACCACGGCGGCGACCTTGGTTTTCTTCCTCTTCCATTGCCACTTCTATGAGAACTTGTTCATCGACTTGTCTCTACAACTCATTGATTTCATCGGCTCTACGGTTTCTCTCCTTTCTTTCTCGCTCTTGCCTCTCCAAGCATCTCATATATTCTTCCATTGAGGATGAATGGAGTATGAATTCTAAACTCTAAGAAATGAAAATATAGAAAGATGTGGCGTGAGAGGTATGGGTGAAGGAGCCTCTGGTTTTATAGAAAAATTTGGCAAGATAGAGATGTCACGTGGCTTGATTTCATTGGATGAAAATCTTATCTGAAATTTGAAATTCATCCGAAATTTGAACCTAAATTTATCTGAAATTTGAACCCAAATTTATCTGAATTTTGAATTTTGAAATTCATCCGAAATTTGAACCCAAAAATCTTATCCCGAAATTTTATCCGATTATGAATAGTCTTGACACGTAAGAACCCGGAAATCTTATACGAAAATATTATTCAAATTAATTATTGAGGTAAAAAAATTTGTGAATAAAACAAAAAAAATGAATGGTAACTGCCCTTAGCCATGACAACGGGTGGAAACACAAAATACTATTTGCAAGGGCAGCCACTATTCACGTGAATAGTAACTACCCTAGCTCCCCCCTTGCCAAGGGCAAATGGGTGGAGTTGCTCTAAGTACTTGGCTTATTTATTGATATGCTATGTAGCACGGACACTTCATCAGGCCGAAGTGTGGGAGTGTCAAACATGCGGACATGGCTTGGACACAGGTTAATGGTCAAGACACTTTGGACACTGTCAACTGAAGTCAAGACACGGCAAGGACTATTTGAAAAGTATAAAACAAAAATTGGGGTCAAAACACAATTATTGAAAACTATGTGGACATATTTGAAATATGCTTAAAAAGTGGGCTAACAATGTAAACAATATTTTTAATTTTTTGTTGGTTCCTTCATAGTAGGGCTGATATTTTTGGTTGATTAAGGATATTGATGTCAATTTAGTCGTGAGAGAAGCATCTTTTTGAGTGGGTAATTCATTCACTTTGTTTTTTTTTTTTTAATTTTTAATTTATTTATTTATGCAAACTTGATTCTTATTTTATGGAGTGGGAAATCATTTTTCTTATTTTGAAGATGATAGATCATATACGAAAAATGTGTGAAATTTTGTTTATGATGAATCATGAATATGTTTGAATAAATATGTGTCATTCTTTATTTTGTTTATTAAAAGATGAGTAATGCTAAGTTAACTCAAATGAGTATGAATTTGTTTTATGCTATTATGACATTGAAGTATTGAGTACGATTTTTTTAATAAATATATATAAGTATATATTATTATAATTTTATTAGGATTTATTATTATTTTAATTGTCGTTTTTGTGTCTTAATTTTTTGAGATTTTCCTTGTCGACATGTTGCCGTGTAGCGTTTCTATGTCCCCATGTTCATGTCCATGCAACATAGTTGATATGCCCCATGTGCTTTACCCAAAATCTCAATTTACCCCCTGACTTTGTAATTGGGTCAATATGCCTCAGGTGCTATTATTTTGTGTCTCACATTGCCATTCCATCAATTTAAACAATAACACCGTTAATTCGCTTACATGGCGTGGACATTTTAATAAGGCTTATTAGCTAAAATGCCCTTTGAAATTTTGGTCAAATCTCACTTTGCACCGTGAAACTGAAAGTGACCCATATTCACCATTTGACCGTGGTTTCGCGTTTCACTTTACCCCATGTCTTCAACTTTATTCCTAACCCCGTAAAAATTGTTGACGTGGCAACGGCAATCTCATCCTTTTGTCTCATATGGCATACAAACATTTTTAAAAATCGAAAATTTTCTTAAATAATTAAAATTTAAACATTAATAAATACAAAAAAAAAATATATATATATATATATACCAAAAAAAAAACAAAAAAACAAACCAGAAACTTCTTTCCCCCATCCATACCAGCCATCTCCACTCAGCCTCACTTCGATGTCACCACCACCTCTCCACCTTCCTACAGCTCTACTGTGACCTCAGCCCATTTACCAGATCAACCCACTCCAACAATCCCCATATCCCATCTATCTCAGCCCACGAAACCCAACCCCTCTCCTATGACAAACATCACTACTGCACCACCCCCAACCCCCTCCACCCAATCACCTTCAGCACATTCATCCACCAACCCCAAACCACACAACTCCAAATCGCACAACTCCAAAACACAAACCTGCACCTAACCACCTCCAACAAATCCATCCTTACCCAGCCACCCCAATTGATACCCCACCCCATATTACACAAACCCAACTATCCCCCACCCCTCTTCCCCAAATTTGGCTTTCAAGTTAAGAAGAAGAAAAGAAAAAGTTGAAATCAGGGAAAAGAAAATGAAGAAGAAGCAGAAAAGAAAAGAAAAGGAAAAAGAAAAATGGAAAGTAGGCTGCGGGAGAAGGAATAATATGACTTCTTTTTTTTTTTTAAAATAATAATGAGATTCTTATAAGAGTATAATAAATACTATCGTTGTACCTAGATTACAAAAGAACACAACTTGCTCTAGTGGTAAGGACCCCTTATTGGGTATTGGAGGTCATTGGTTCGAATCCTCTTGCACCAGTACTCTTAATATTTGCCATACCTTCCTTTGTCCTCGTCACCATCATCATCATCATCCATATCCCAAACATTTGGAGGCAAATGAAATTAAAGAGTTATCATAGCTTCCACCAAACATGCCTACTCATTATCCACTAAACATATACTATCATATCTCCAGATAAAGCTAATTACTCACCACTAATACACTACCTTAATTTAACGGAATAATACACAGATTTTGACGGAAGGATGATTTTGGTACATTATAAAAAGTTTAAGGATGTTTGAATTGAAAATTTTAGTTGGTGGACCAAAATGATAATCACGCGATAGTTGGGGGACCATTTAGGTCATTAACCCTATTGTACTGCACACTGCACAAGAAATATGAATGAATACAAAAATATTTTGTAGCTTTAGATTCTTCATGTTATCAGAGCTTTAACAGCTCCACCGAGCATCATTTTTTTTTCCTTCCTATATTCATTCCTGCCTTTAAACATGGCCACCAAAACCTCCCAATCCCCCAGTCTTACTGTGTCCTCTCCCAGCTCCACGGACACCACTACTTCCTTAATCACTATCAATGCTGCTACTTAAGTCCCAATCAAACTAATGCCCTTAAACTATCCCTCCTGGCAAGCGCAGTTCAATGCTCTTCTCTCAGGATATGATCTCATGGGGTATGTAGACGGGACATATACTTCCCCACCACCATCAACCACTGGTTCTCCATCTTATCCCCATGCTCTGTAGACACGTCAAGATCAACTGTTGCTTCATGCCATCATGCCATCATGCCATCTTATCTCCCTCATCGCTTTTGTAAAAACCTCTAAGGCTGCTTGGGACAAACTCTCACAGCTCTTTGCCAACCGAGCTCGATCTCGTGTCATGAGTCTCAAAGAAAGACTCACCCTCACATGTCGTAACTCCAAACCTGTCACTGCATACCTGTAAACTGTCAAAGCCATTGCTGACGAGTTAGCCCTTACTAATGCTTCGGTTGCTGATGACGA